TTATCTAATCCTCACAACGACCCAATGAGATTGTGTTATCCCCATTCTCCAGGTGAGGAAATGGAGGCCTGCAGGGGTCAAGTTCCTTGCCCAAGGTCGTACAGTTCTGAAGTAGAGGATCCAGGATTGGACTCTGGAGCCTGTGTGCATACCCAGGCCTGCCATAGTGAAGGCAGCGAGGAAGCCCAGGAGAGGGCCACTAGCCCAGAGTGAGGGCTCACAGAAAGCTTCAGGAGAGTATGACCCCTTGGCTGTGTTCCAGAGGGTAAAAGATTAACCAGGTGAAAGCCCAGGGGGGAGATGGCCATCAGGAGAGGGCTCCAGGCAGGGGTAGCACAGAAGAGAGCCTGACACTTTCGGAGGGCTAAGAGGTGTCCATTCCAGCGAGGGGACAAAGCGGGTGGGAGCAAGGACTGAGGTCTTACCCTGGTCTTACCCTGAGGGCCAGAGAACAGAGGGAGTACCTAGAAAGATCACATAACCCTCTGCTTACTCATCCTTCAAGACCCTGGTGACATACTTCCTGGGGGCAAGGCAGAGCCCCAGATCCCAGTCTGCGCAGCCCCACCTCTGCCCTTACTACTTGGACTGTTGAAATTAGCACTGGGCCTTGGGAGTCTTCTATTTACAGGTCCATCTGCCTCTAGAACATTTCCTCCCTATTCATTTCTGTGCCCGAAATACCCAGCCTGGCAAGTAGAATGATAACACCTGCCTGCTGACATCATAAGCATGTTGTGTCATAACATGGATAAAAAGCTGTTGCTGTCGAGTTGATTCCGACTCCTAGTGATCCTATAGGACAGAGTAGAACTGCCCTATAGAGTTTCCAAGGAACACCTGGTAGATTTGAACTACCTACCTGTTGGTTAGCAGCTGAACTCTTAACCACTATGCCACCAGGTTCCATAACATGGATAGAGATGTGGAAATAGTTTGAAAATGTTAGAAGTGCTGTAACATTTGGAGGGTGAGTGCGTGGTGGGAGGGTGTTGGGAGAGGGAGAGGGACCTGCCTGTGACTGTCAGTGGGTGGGGTGGGGGGAGATGGGAGAGATGAAAGGTGCCCCTCTGCATCGAGGGCTCACCATGCCTGCTCACAGGTGGCCTTCCCACTCCTTGCAATGCCGTCTGTACTCTTCAAGGACCTCTTCTCATGGGGACCCTCATGGACGGTGGCCAACAGGTAGTGAGTGTGGATGTTCAGGGACTTGAGAGGTTATTTGGAGTTGTCACAGATCTCCCTGCTATTTGTCAGGCCACCTCTTAGGCTGTTGTTATGAGCTGTCATCAAGTAAGCTCCGACTCATGGCGACCCCATGTACAACAGAATGAAATGTTGTCCAGTCCGGCGCCATCTTCATGATTGTTGGTATGCGTGAATCCATTGTTGCGGCCGCTGTGTATTTTGAGTGCCTTCCAACCTAGGGGGCTCATCTTCCAGCACTATATCGGACAGTATTATGCTGTGATCCACAGGGTTTTCATTGGCTAATTTGCAAAAATCGATTGTCAGGCCTTTCTTCCTAGTCTGTCTTAGTCTGGAAACTCTGCTGAAACATGTCCCCATGGGTGACCCAGCTGGTATTTGAAATACCAGAGGCATACCATCCAGCATCATAGCAACACGCAAGCCACCACAGTACAACAGACTAGCCTAGTGTTCCCCAAATTCCAGCAACTCAGGCACCACCTTCTCAACTTTGGCCATATTGATTTGCCACCTGGCTCTTACATACTACATGTTTTTCTTTAAATTGATTCACTTTCTCTCTCAACTCTTTAATTTGACAAATTTCCAATCTACAGGCAAGTTGAAAGGGTATTGCAATGAACACCTATATGCCCTTCATTTAGATTTATCAATAGTTAACATTTTTGCGCCGTTTGCTTGACCTCTCTCTATTTTTCTCCATGTGTACATTTTATAAAAACAGCAGGAACTGATATTTTTTTCTGGGGCCATTAACAATATTTAAATAAACTTTTTTATTTTAGAATAGTTTTAGATTTACAAAAAAGTTGCACAGATGACACAGAGTTCCTATATACCCCCCGCCACCACCACATTTCCTATTGTTGACAACTTATGTTGCTATGATAAGTTTGTCACAACTAATGAACCAATACTGATACATTATTATTAACTAAAGTCCCTGCTTTATTGGGATTTTGTTAGTTTACCCCTTATCTGGTGGATTCATTTTTAAAGTTTAAAAAATTAAAAATAGAAAAGTTTCAATGGAAAACCATTATCACCTGCCAAATACAGTTGTAGCTAGATGCTATTGGCTGTTGACCGACCTAAGCCTGAGGCCTGCTTTCTCTTTGTTAAAAAAGGGAGATTATCAAATGTTAGAGAGGTGTTAAAGACAGACTAGCACAAAACCAAGACTTTCTCCCAGGTTAGCTGGCATTGAAAGATAACTGCAGTTGGAATAAAATAACTTTCCCACTATGAGATTCAGTGTTGTTTGCTGCCTGGTGTGTGTGTCACCTAAAGTCATCTTGGGCATCACCCCTGGTGTGAGTTCCACTTTGGGAAATATTGACGTGGTCTAACGATGCCACGTGCTTAGACAGCTGAACCCCAAGTGTGAGACTGCTGGCTCCAAACTTGGAGTATCCTTCTGCCCTGGAGGACTGGGACAGAGGGGCTGGGTGCCCCAGCTGGCTTGGAGCTGTGCGCAATGTTGTTTGTCTTCTCTACAGTAACTCACCCAGCTGTCTTCCTAAAGCAGGAGGCGTTAGACAAGTGAAGACCAGAAGCAAGCACCTGGAGGATTCCATCAACATCACATGAGAAACACCTCAGAAGGATCACAAGGTCCGGTGTGCCCGTGGTGTCTGTGAGAAGTAGGCGGTCAGAGGTGCAGTCAGTGAGGCGGAGGAAAGTAGCTAAACTGAAGCTGTGTTTTCTCAACGGCCCTTTATATAATGCCTGAGCTTGTTCCCATTCATTCCTTTAAAATGCTTCAAAATGTTTTCACGTTTTCTAAGTTAGAGTAGGTGACATGGTTTCCTGAAACCAAGTTATCACTTTCCACTATTTACTTTTCAAACATTTATCTGCTGTCCTTATTTCCCGAAGACCAGCGCCCACTATGAAATAACTCGGACAGCTCTCCTGCCCTTCAGGAATTTCACTCTGTAATAAGTCACCGTTGGCCCAGGTGTCCAAACATCTAACTGGAGGTGTTTCAAACTGGAGCGTTTGCAGAATTTCTGGGTTCACTCCTCGGGATTGCTGTGTATTTTTGAGCTGACTTATTGTAGAATGGTTGGAATAAAATTTTCTCCATGGACAGGGTAGAGTGTCCCTAAAGAAGGAAGCTGTTTGGGGCACAAATAATAGCTGAATCCATTTTCATTTTTAGAAATGAAGCTATTATAGGTAAGAGCACCACCCCTAAACCCTTTTGCCTTCCCGTTTCCCAGAGGTAACCATTTACATCAGCTTGGCTTATATCCTTCCAGACTATTTTCATGGCTTTTTATGTTTCCACAGCATTTCTTTTTATGTGTGTGTGTGGGGGTGGGGGGGTGGCAGAAGGGAAGGATTATCCAATTGGGATCATATATATATAATTATTCTGCCCCTGTTTTTCACTCAGTGATATATGCCTTGGAGATCCCATCCTAGTTGTTACATGTAGATACAGCTCACTCGTTTGAAACTGCTATCTGGTATACCGTAGTATGACTTGTCCATATTTTATTTAACCAATCATTTGACTACTTAGTTATTTCCAGTTGTTTCCTGTTACAAACAATTCTCAGCAACACGTGTGCATGCCTCCTTGTACACACGTGCAAGTGATGCTCATTTTTGATTTTCAAAGGTATTGCCAAATTACCCTTCAGAGTGTGTGTGTGCATAGTTTTTTTGGGGTGGGTGTCAGTTTCTGGTTTGGGGGTCTGCTTGTTCCTGGTACTTTTCTTCAGGGGCTGCAGGGCGGAAGGGAACCGGGGGAGGGAGGGAGAAACTCACCTCTAGGTGTCAAGGCTCTGGTCTGCACGGGGCCAGCCTCTCCTCCTGCTGGGAAATGGGTGCTTTATTTCTGGCTCCATCCCTGAGCAGAATCAGAAAGCTGAGATGTGCTGAGCTGACAAAAGGAGCTGAGTGCGTCACCATGCCTGGATCCCACCCCTTGACGCAGAGACACTGCTGAGTTTGTAGGCGTTGCACACACACACACAAAAATGTAACGGGGGCATGGAGGGGGACCACCCCAACCCTGAAATAATTCGGTTGTAAAAAAGAAAAGAAGCCTGACTGTTAACTGGAAAGATGTAAAAGCAAAAGGCCCCAGTGATCCGCAGCCTAGGAGACATGGGGGCTGGGGTGGGGTGGGGGCAGGGGGAAGACGGGGCTGGGGGAAACCCAGGACCGGAGGACGGGGTGTGTGAGGGATCAGATCCGGAAAAGGAGGAGGGGGACAGATAGGAAAGAGGAAAGAAAGGGAAAGGAGCGAGAGTGAGAAAGGCAGACGAAGGAGGATGGCAAGGTAAGAGGAAGACGCGGGCCGGAGGAGGAGAGCCTGCAGAGAGCGGACTGAGGAGGGGAAGGCTGTGTCCCAGTCTGTTTGTGATTAGCATGCAGCCTGGTGCAGAATGGAGTAAACAGAAACTTCCAGGCGTCCCCGATCCCACCCCCACCCCCCGGCTAGGCAAAGCAGAAATCAGATGCTCCGTGATTAATCGTGGAGGGTTCAGGACATGACCGCAAACGCTGTGTGGACTTGAAATTAGCTGCCTTTCCCCAGTACCCTTGCCAAGATGGGAGTGAGGGGTGGGACGTGAAGGGGGTGGGGGCCCCGCCTGCTGGGGGCCAGCATGGAATTCTCCCTGGTAGAGCTCAGAGGGACACTGACGGGCAATCGGCCTCATCCAGAGCAGCGGTCGGCATCCGGGGGGAGCAGAGCCGGCCGGGCCCCCCAGTCAGGCTTCCTGGAACCGTGGCCGCCTGCCCTCTGACACAGGCCAGATAAGAGTCCCGGCTGCACTATCAGAGCCCGGCAGAGCGCCCGGCCCCATGCCCCAGGAGGACGACGCAGGGGACAGTGGAAGCTCAGAGACGACCATCAGAGCAGGACCTGGTACCCGGTGGCTGGTCTGGGTGGGCTTTCCCAAGCCTTAGCTCAAGTCCTGAGTTCTGTGGCAGATGGAAGCGAACACTTACTTGCAGGCAGCGATAGAGGAGGCAAAGCGGCTGAGAGGAGGACGGGTGTGACGCGGTACTGAGTGTCCCGACCTGCTCCATGGTGAGTACGAAGCACTGCACGTGCAGTTGCCAGCTGGCACGTGGACCAGACTTCCAGAGGGGGTGTGGGTGTGAGGACAGCCCTTCCTCCATTCCAGCCTGGACTGGGCTGAGAGGGGGTGGGCAGCACCCTGCTGTGTGGCCTTGGGCAAGTTCTTTCCCCTCTCTGTTTGTCCACTCTAAAATGGAGTGGCCGGGGTAGGTGCTTTTGAAGGAACTCCAACAACCACTGCTATTTATTGTGTATCTACTTTATGCCAGGCACTGTCCTAGGCACACAACCCCCTGTGGAGCAGGTATTATAATTATCCTCATGGCACATGGAGGAAACAGGCTCAGAGAAGGGAAGTGACTTGCCCAAGGTCACACAGCCAGTCAGTGGCAGAGATGAGAACCAGATCCAAGTATTTCTAACTTTGCTTTCACTAAACTGCCCACCCCCAATAGTCTGTACCCTGTGTTCTATGGTTCTGTGATTGTCCCATCAAGTGGGGTGAAGGAGGAGAAGGCATGGAGGGAACACTACCTGGGGAGGGAGGCCGAGGAAGCAGCAGGCTGAAGCTCGGCAAGCAGCCGCCCACTATTTGGATGCTGCGCCAGCCCAGGGTGGGGACCGCGCGACCTGGGACGGGGCAGGGGCTCCTGCCTGAACGGAGATGAGTGCTCTGCACGATTTGCTGGGTGTGCTGCTGTTGGAGGAGGCTCCGGGGGTGTGAGAAGAGGGTTAATGGCTGGACGGGGAGAGTGACACACGCCTCTGCTAGGTTTCGTTCCACTTTTACTTTGCCTTTTCAAAAATCTGTTTCAAATCATTCTGGGCCGGCACTGCTTCTCTGGATGAAACAGAATTGTGAAACGCTGTGCTTTCCACAGGGTTCCCCTGGGGGAAATCGCATATTAACATTATTGGAGGCTATTTGCATATATGTCCCTGCAGCTGTGATCAGCCGAGAGATAAGAGGCAGATAAAGTCAGCTTGCTTTGTCCCCCTGGCACTGAGAAAAGGATGCCTGTTACAGTCAAGGGCTGGCAGGGCCACAGCAGGTGGGAAGTCCCGTGGCCGCTAGGCATCTGGGCAGAGTTAAAGGTCCCAGCACCCAGATGTGGCCTCCTCTCCTCTCTACCCCTGGGAAGTTCCATTCCACAGTAGCTCAATACTGACCCAGGCCTCCCCTGCTGAGGACCAGCCCTTGGGCGCACGTTGTGTTCCCAGCTTGTCCCAGAAACTCCCTCATTCCCAATCATCGCCCTACCCAATTCTGCCCTTGATTTTCTTTGCAACCTTGAGCAAGTCATTGCCCTTCTCTGGCCTCAGTTTCCTCATCTGCCAAACAAAGGGATTATCCTAGGAAATATCTCAAATTCTGTGACTCTGGTTGGAGAGCATTTAAGTTCTAAGCTGGGTGAGGGCATCTGAGAGTAAAACAAAAGTTCAGAGAGGCAGCAGATCTCCCCATGAGTTCCCAGAGCAGTCAGGGAAGGCACCCCGGAGGAGGTTGGAATTAAGCTGAGCTTGTAGAATGGCTCATTGGTTAAGTGCTCAGCTGCTAATCAGCTGCTAATCAAAAGGTCGGCAGTTAGAACCCACCAGCTGCTCTGTGGGAGAAAGATGTGGCAGTCAGCTTCCATAAAGATTTACAGCCTTGGAAACCCCATGGGGAAGTTCTACTCTGTCCTGTAGGGTCGCTATGAGTCGGAATCGACTCGTTGGCAATGGTTGTTTTGTTTTGTTTGAAGAAATGATTGATTGGCCTGTAGTGCCGCCTTTATTGATTAGTAATAACAGTACTGAGGCCTGGCAAGCCTCTGAAAAGCCTAATGAATTGCTGAAAGCAAAGTTGGTTGTGCAGCTTAGTTTTTGTTTTAAGTGATTTAACCCAGATGTCCACCGGTTACAGAGCCCCACCCCCTCGTCATCAGAAGCTCCATGCTCCTCCCTGTCTGCCCCCCTCCCCCCACCGCAGTATTCCCCAGTTCTTTCTGGGGAGCTCCAAAGCAGCCTCTCACATGTGTTCAGAAACTGGTCTCTTGCCCTGTTTGTCCTCTCTTCCTTCCTCTTGCCACTATCCCCAAGGCCACTTGTTGCCACTGCCCATCCCAAGCTCGCCAGTGTCCACGGTGCCATCTCTGGAACACGCAAAGCTACCCACCCGTTAGTGCCCGAGCTGCTCTGCGTGCTGGGCAGACGTGGAGAGAATGGTTTCCTCCCCAACTCGGTGACACTCTATCATGTGGTCCCCACACGGTGGTGTGCTGGAGCCAGCTTGTACCCAGCTTGCGAGGGACAATTGTGTCATTTTCAGGAATTTTGTGAGCTGGTTGTTGAATATGGCCATTATTAAAAAATTAAATTATATAAACTTATAATTAAATATATTAAAAATAGAGGTAATAAGTACTCAAAACTATCACTTCTTTATTTTTTAAAAACTACGTTTTGTGCCCCTGAGGTTATACCTACTGTCTCTGTGTGGTGGAAATCGGATACCGTGGTGTGTTGCTTGCATCTCTTCCCAAGTTCACGTTCAGTGACTTCAAGTTGGTAGCTTGAAATCGGCCATGGTGGGAGTATTAAACCAAAACCAAACCAAACTCGTTGCCGTCGGGTTGATTCTGACTCATAGTGACCCTGTAGGACAGAGTAGAACTGCCCCATAGGGTTTCCAAGGAACCACTGGTGGATTTGAATTGCCAAACTTTTGGTTAGCAGCCGAGCTCTTAACCACTGCGCCACCAGGGTTCCAGTGGGAGTATTAGCGCAGAAATCAGCAAACACTACAAAATCAGGGCTTGATCTGTTCTGTTGATTGTCTAGATTTAAGTAAGTGATAGAGAAAATGCTAATGATTAAACATAAAAATACATTGTCTGTATAACCCTTACATTGTGAATAGCGCAAAACATGGGGGAGCCGCTCACTTCATTGACCAGTGAGTACTGCTCCAGCATACTCTGTTGTTTCCCTTTTGTCTTACTCCTTAAGGTAAAGGCTGGTATCAGCCAGCATTCCTGAAGAGCTATCCTCGTTCCTCAATTGCAACCAGCGGGTGGCTATAGATAGCCACCAGAGTTGGGGGCAAAATGCAACAAAAGTGTTCTGTGAGAATCAATTGGCTATGCGAAATTTACAAAAAAGAGTATTGTAAATTTTATTTTTATTTGTAAATTGGGTGCCACACATCTTTTACATTAATACCATTGATAATAAACTTCAGTGTGTGTGTATTTTTCCCCGGAGAGCCGGTTGTTAAACCTTTACCAGCCCACAACTGGCTCTCCAGCATATGCGCTTGCGCCCAGGGTCTCAGAAATCCTGTCATACACAGTCCTCAGCCCTCACCCAAAGGAATGCAGACCCCAGGCATGGGGCCTTAGATGCAAATCCCTCAACTTCCTCCTCTCGCCTAGAACAAACCAACAGCCAAACTCCTCTCTTCTGCCCTGAGTGTTGGAACAGAGGCAAACAGAGACTGGGTAGGGGTGGAAGGTGTTGCCTACATCGGGGGCATCTGGGCTGCCCCCCGCCCGCGACAAAGCCCCCTGAGTTGCTCCGTCTTCATTGCAGTCAGTTGCTGTTTGAGGCTGCCAGCGCCTGTCGGGACTCCCACCAGGGGCAGCTCCCAGCTGATTCCGTTCTGCTCCAGGTCTTGCCCCTGCCATCCCTTATTTTCCTGTGCAGTGCATGATTCTCTAATAGAAACAGCATCTTGGAAGGAGCAGAAAGAACAGCTAAGCCAAACCTATAGGAAAGTGAAGACAACTTTCTATTTTTAGAAACCCGAGGAGCCAGGTGGGCCTTTTCCAGTTCTCCAAAGTGAGCACGAGAGGAAAATGTTTCTCCTTCCCAAGTTTCCACCCCTCTGAGAGTTTGGGCCAAAGAGGAGGCCCAGGTGGGGGCGTTAGCCAAGCGAAGTGCAATTGGGAGGGCAAGAAAGGCGTCATGGCCTCAGTGATCTAAGAGAAATAAAAACGGGCAGGTTGTATTGTTTTGTGTGGCAGGAAGACCAGTCCTGAGTTTGCATCTCAGTGGCTCTGCACTCCCACACCCCAGGGGACCACTCTTCTTTTGGACCATTCATTTGCTCAGTCATATTTTTCTTTTTTTAATTTTTTTTAAAAAATGGGATCATTCCATATATTCTATTCTGCATCTTCCTTCTTTCATTTGACAGTACATCCTGAATGTTTTCCATGTCAGCCCATGAAGACCTTGACGTTTGTTTTAATGTTTGCATAACAGAAGCCCTAAAGGGGGGTGGAAGGGATCAATTTTCATAACCAGACTTTCAGATGTAGCTCTCAAACTGTCTTGACCCAACACACTCAGGTAGAGCCCAGCTGCTCGTACTTTGCCGTAAAAAAGAAATTCTGTTGGCTCTATCCCCAGCATGGATCCAGAAGCTGACTGCCTCTCATCACCTCCACTGCCCCCACCCTGGTCCGAGCCACCATTGTCTCTCTCTGGACAATTGTAGTTGCCTCCTCACTGGTCTCTGCTTCTCCGCTTGCCTCCCTGACAGTCTGTCCTTTCTGTGTGGCCAGCGGGGTCCTGTTACAGCGAAATCAGATCCTGTCCCTTCTCTGCTCAGAAACCACCCACCACCACACTGCCTCGGCCCCCACTTCACCCAGAGTAAAAGGCAAAGTCCTTGACATGGCCCACTAGGCCCTGCAGCAGCTGAACTCATCACTTCTCTGGCCTCATCTCCCCACATGTTGATTTGGCTCCAGCCACACTTGCTGTTCTCAGTTATGCCAGGCACAGTGCTGCCACGAGGCCTTTGCACTTGCTTTTCCCTCTGCCTGGAACACTCATTCTCCAGATCTCCACATGGCTCACTCCTTCACATCCTTCAGGTCTTTGCTCAAATATCACCTTCTCAGTGAGACCCATCATCATCCTTTATTTAAAACTCAGCCCTACCTGTAGCACTCCTTCATTCTCCTTCTCGTTTTCTGGTTAGTTTTTCTCCTTAGCACTTATCATCATCTAACATGCCA